ACTCTTAAGTATCCTTCTTTACAAATAAGCAGGTGGTGATAAAAGATAGGGAGTTTGTCAGACATATATATATATATATATATATATATATATATATATATATATATATATATATGAAATGACCTATTTTTGTTCTGTTGCAGCTCTTCTCTTTCCCTTTCTTAATCCCCAATTCCTGGTTTTTGTCCTTTCTTTCTTTCCTTTCTTTTACTTCCCTTTACTTTCTCTTCTGCAACGTGGTAGTTTGTTTTGCTTAAGACTTTTTCTTTACTTGTAATGCCCTCTCTCTTAAAATCCTCCCTCCACTCTATTTTTCTGTCACATCCTATTTCCTTTTTGAGTTTAATTTACCATCGGGAATGTGTGTGTGTGTGTGCATGTGTGTGTGTGTGTGTGTGTGTTGTGTGTAAGTATCTGTGTTCAATCTTCTTTTATCTGGTTCAGATACAAATGAGGTTCATAGGATGCCTATCCCCCAATCTCTTCACCCTGGTTTAAATATTCTTCATCTTATTCACCTCTGAGATAGTGATTTTCCTCCCCTTCCTCTTTCCCTGTAATCCTCTATCCATTCTGCCTTCTTGTAAGACCAACAATCCAGACTCTGTCATATTTACCACTCTCTATGACCCTGAAGATATGAGGGTTCTGAGGAGTTTATTTTTTTCTTATTCCCATATTAATATGTAAACAACTCATCCCCTCAAAATCTCTTCCAGTTAAACAAATGTGTACACTTTTTTTTTCTTCTTAGTTCCTGCATTTCCAATTCCAAATATTTACTCAATTTTGGTCACTTCATCAGAAATACCTGGAAATTTATTTCATTAAAAGTCCATTTCCCCCTAGTAGGATTATATTTAGTTTTGCTATTAATTTTTGGATGAAAGTCTTTATCATTTTTGTTCTGTTTAAATAAAACATTATGACAATTGCCAAGTCTTGTGTGATTTGATCTGTGGTTCCGTGGTACTTGAGTGCTTTCTTTCTAGTTTCTTGAAGTATTTTTTCTTTGGCCTGAATGCTCTGGATTTTGGCTATAATATTTCTGGAAGGGGTTCTTTCAAGAGATGACCAGTGGGTTCTTTCTGCATTTATTTAGCTATGGTTCCAAGATATCTTGGCAATTTTTACTTTTTAAAAAAATATGGTATGCTAGTTTTTTTTTAAAGTCATGATTTTCAGATAATTTGGTGATTCTTAGATTATTTTTTTTTACTTTTTTCCCAGATGATTTGCACTTAATATTATATTACTTACATTTTCTTTTATTTTTAAATATTTTGATTAAAATATTTCTTTTTGCCTCTTTGAGTCATTTTCTGTATGACCCATTTTAATTTCCAGGAAATTCAGTTCTTGTGCAAAGTTTCTTATTGTCTTTTCCAAGGCTTCAATTTTTCTTACCTTTCTTTACTCCCTAGCTATTTCATGTTGTACCTCTCATTTCGTTTCTTCCAGGTACTCTTATAATCCTTATTGCCAGAACATTTTTATCTCTGAGATTCTACTTGGTCTTGTGGTGGGACTATTGTCTTTTTTGGGATTTACCCCTTGGGCTTTTTTATTCCAAGATATTTCCTCGTATTTGTTGTTTTCACGTATCTGTAGCCTCAGCATCTGGCTTGTGGGGGGAGGGGTAATGCTCTTAATTTCAACTTTGCTTCCATATAACTGTTTGCTATGATAGAGCCTAATTGGTTCACAGCATGTTGGCTAAGACTATGCCTCACCCTAAAGCATTATTTAGTCTTGTCTCCTGTTGAGGTTCAGGCCCAGGCTGTCTGGATGCTGGTTATGTCCAGGCTTCTTGGATACAGCTCTGGAACTTTTCTTCTGCTGTGGCCAGAAGTCTGGGCAGCCCTGCTACTGAAAACTTTGTCTCTTGTTGCTCCAGACTCTTTGTCTTTCTCCATCTCCACCCCAATTCTAAGTTCTTCCTAGGGTCTTTCTCTAGTCTTGGCTTCCTCCTGAAGCTCCTTTTCAGTTTCTCTGGGGCTGCTTAGAATTAAGTCTCCCACCCAACCCTAATTGTCTATTTTAAGTTTTCCACAGCATTCTAGCATTTATGTTGCTATGGACTGGGTAGAGGTGTCTAATAGTTGATTCTTCTTATTTATTTTTATACCAGTTCATTTTTAAAGTTTACTGATGTTACATTTGAAAATTAAGGTAAACTGAGACAATGGTCTGTGCATGATCGATTTATTTGTTAGGCTAGCAGTAACCAATGAATTGGGTCAGTGGCCTCAGTGAACAAAGACTACAAGGTAGGGCTTACTAGCCTTCATATAGTTTTGGGAAGTACAAGAAAACAAAGAACAGAATTGAGTAGATAGGGAAAACAATGCAGTTGGTTACAGAGATGGCAGTTTCATGGGAGTGAGGCCAGCATGATTGGTTATATCAAGAAGAGTGGGCTAGCACCTATGTAGGGGATAGCAATCAACCTTCTCTGTCTTAGGAGAATGCTTGATTGATTCATGGGATCTAGGGGGCAGCTAGGTGGCGAAGTGGATAGAACTCCGGCCTTGGAGTCAGGACCTGAGTTCAAATCCAGCCTCAGATACTAGACACTTACTAGCTGTGTGACCCTGGGCAAGTCACTTAACCCCAATTGCCTCAGCAAAAACAAAAACAACCCCCCTCCCCCAGATTTATGGGATCTATCTGCATGCTAAGGCTATTGATAGTATACCAGGGAAAGCAGACTTACCTGACTCCTAGCAGGGAACTCCTGTGACTAAGAAATGTTCATTGTTTGAGTCCACTTGAAAGGTTAAAGATAGTGGACCAGACTTCCTGGTGTCTGCCTGCATCCCTCAAGGATAACAGATTTCCTTGAGGCAAAAATGAAACAGTGATTAGCAGGAGAACTGAATTTCTAAACTTTATTCTTAGGCAAAGAGATAAAGAAATGTGGCTTGAGCAGTCGTACAAAATGGGACAGTAGTATGGAATAGGATCAATCACAAGATAGAATCAATTATAAAATGCTTCAGAATCAATTTAATTTTTTTGCTGGGGTGTGTGTGGGAGATCTGGACTCTTCTTTGACCTTACAGATTGTTATCTCAGTCCCCTTTCTTAATATTCCTTAAAGAAGGAACAAGAAGTGCAGGGATGGAGGAGGGGTTAGTATGTTTAAAAAAAAAGGCAACAGTGAAGAAAACACAACCTGTGTTCCTATGGTCTTTAGATTCTCTTCTAAAGCTTCATAATCTTTGCTAACACTGTTTACCTTCTTTTTGGCAGTGCTATTCATGCCCATGTTATTCATCAGGAATAGGTGACTTACTTAGAGTCACATAACTACTACTGTCTGAGGCTGGATTGGAACTCAGTCTTCCTGACTCTAGGGTTGGTGCTTTATCCACTGTGCTGCCTAGCTGCCCAGTACCCCATAGCTCCTCATAAAAATGAAATATAATGAGTATAGTGAAAAATAAAAAATAATGAAATTTTCTAGTTATAATGGCCAAGTTTCCCCCTTCAGAAGAGATGAGAAGACAGCTACTCCCTCCCTTCTTTACATTTGTGTACCCTAAAATGTAGGCAAAGCTACTTTACTAGTGACAGAAGGAAAAAAGAAGACAATTCCTATCATTAAAAAAAATTATTATTATGATAAAAATGGCTACTTTCCCTACCTCCACATTCACTGGGGCGACAGAGAATGCATTCCTTCAGGGTAGTGGTGATTCCAAACTAAAACACTAACTTCCTATAGATTGGGCCTTTTATACCTCAGAAAACATGGAAGCCAAATGGCTTCCATTTCCTTAAAGGACCAGACTAATATACAGGTGAGGTGTATTCCTACCACAGCAACCTTGAAACTCTATGTTTTATGATTGTCTCTTTATCTAGATTTCTTCAGTCCCTTTTATCTCCTAGCACTGTCATTTTCCAATATTGTATAGCTTGCAAATTCTAATCTGATGCCTTTCTTTGCGCACAGTGATTTTGTTGAAGGCTTTGAAGTGGTTTTGCAAAATGCAAAGGTATATGGGTTTTGGCTCAGAGAAATTTTTCATTAACTTTCTAGGTTAAGCCCGTGGTCTGGATGGTTCCTGTTGCTAAAAGTCTGCTTGCAGGGTAATTGGGGCATTCATTTCTTATTTTTATTGTTTCAAATAGGTTAGAACAAGTCAACTACCATTGATCAAATTCTGAAAACATTCTCATATTTTATGTAATTACCAAATAAAATTCTAGAAATAGTAATATGGCAATGTAGAGCTATGGGAGAAATTATGTTGGAGTGGAAACAATGGATTTTCCCCCCTCTGTCAGTCTATAATGATATATTTTTGGGAAACTCATAAAATCGCAAGACTATTTTCATCTTCTATAATAATGAGTTATATAGTATTACTGAGTTCCTAATAATTGGCAGAAATTAGGAGGAATACAATTTGACATTTACTGGCACTATCTGTCTATAAATAAATATTTTGCCTACATATAAGCATTTAACAATTCTGTAAGCATTAAAAAAAGGAAATGAGTTTGCATTGTCACTACTATGATTGCATTTCCTTGTGGATATAATAGAGTAAGTTACATTCTTAGTACACTTTCATATTTTTTAGACTTGTAAAAGTACAAACACATTTATATCTGAACTGTAAATTTTGGGGAAGCATTTTCTTTTCAGTTGTCCACATTTAATTAGCCATATAGTAAATTTGATGAATAATTTTGTATGTTGCATGAATCCATCAATTTGCAGTAAGAAATATACCATTTTCATCTCTTTATATACCCCTAAATTATTATTTTAAGAGATTTTCACTAAATAGCAGATGAAGCCTTTAAAATGCATAAAATCAGTTCTATAATATATTATACATGCACACATATAAGTGAAAGTTGTAGGCTTAAGAACTGAAGAGTGTGCATTTACACAAACATATGTAATCATCTAATTTTAATATTTGTGACAAAAGGTAATATAAGGTGAAAGTCATATTTATTTTTCATCGCTTCCTTTGTAGGTATTGCTTCCATGACAGTACCAGTGTACATTGCAGAGGTTTCTCCACCCAATCTAAGAGGCAGATTAGTTACTGTTAACACGCTATTCATCACAGGAGGGCAGTTCTTTGCAAGTGTTGTTGATGGAGTTTTCAGTTATCTTCCAAAGGATGGATGGAGGTATGTACATTATTTTTATATTTAACTTTCAAATACATAAATTATCAAACTTTAAGTACATCTAGGAAAAGAAGCTACAATTGTTTAGGAAGTATAAGTAACTTAAGGTTGCTTATGATTAGTCACTTCCTAATTTATGTGGCAATATCTGACTGCAAGGTTTATGCACTCTTCAACAAAAAAACAGTCTGAAAGTGGACAAATGCTAACATTTGATTTAATAATAAATAGAATGCTAATGGTATGATATTCATTTTTAATTAAAAAAATTTCTCCATTTTTTTAAATTAAAGTTTTAAAACATTTTCGACATTAACTTTTATAAGATTTTGAGTTGCAGTTTTTATCTCCCTCCGTCCCTCCTATCCGTTCTCTCCAAGATGGCAAGCAATCTGATATAGGCTATATATGTACAATCTTATTAAATATATTTCTACATTAGTCATGTTGTGAAAAGAGAATCAGAACAACAGGGAAAAACCACGAGAAAGGAAAAACAAACAAACAAGAAAGAGAAAATAGTATGCTTTCATCTGCATTCAGACTCCATAGTTCTTTTTCAGGATGTGGATAGCATTTTCCATCATGATTCTTCTGGAGTTTTCTTATTTCTGGGAAGAGCTGTCTATCAGAGTCAGTCATCACACAATGTGACTATTACTGTGTATAATGTTCCCCAGGTTTTGCTCATTTCACTCAGCATCAGTTCCTATAAGTCTTTCCAGGTTTTTCTGAAATCTGCCTGTCCATCATTTCTTATAGCACAGTGGTGTTCTATTACATTTATATATCACAACTTGTTCAGCCATTCCCCAATTGATGGGCATCCCCTCAATTTCTAATTCTTTGCCACCACAAAAAGAACTGCTATAAATATTTTTGTACATATGGATCCTTTTTCCTTTTATTATGATCTCTTTGGGATAAAGGCCTAGTAATGGTATGGCTGGATCAATGGGTATGCACTGTTTTATAGCTCTTCCAATTGCTTTCCAAAATGGTTGGATCAGTTCACAAGTCCACCAACAATTCATTAATGTTTCAGTTTTCCCCATCTTCTCCAACATTTATCATTTTCCTTTTTTGTCATATTAGCCAGTCTGATGGGTGTGATGTAGTACCTCAGAGTTGTTTTAATTTGTATTTCTTTAATCAGCAGTGATTTAGAGCATTTTTTCATATGACCATGGATAGCTTTTATTTCTTCCTCTGAAAATTGTCTGTTCATATCCTTTGACCATGTATTAATTCAAGAATTACTTCTAATCTTATAGATTTGACTGCATTCTCTACTATTTTAAAAATTAGGCCTTTATCAAAGACACTGGTTGAAAATATCATTTCCCAGACTTCTGCTTTCTTTATAACCTTGGTTGCATTGGCTTTGTTTGTTTGTACAATGCCTTTTAATTTAATGTTATAAAAATGATCCATTTTGATCTGCTCCTGGGAGCCAAGATGGTGGAGTGAGAAGTAAGTCACTCTCACCCTCCCTTATTGACCTCTGAGTGATCACAAAATATCAACCAAGGAAAAACCCTAGAGAAGCTAAGCCAACAGAAAGACAGGATACAGCAGTCTTGTAGCTTAGGAAGCTTGGAGGATTAATGAGAAAGGCCCCTTTTGCTCTGGGGCAGAGGGAGCAGTACAGGATGGAAGACATCCTGGCAAGCCAGCAACAAACTAGGGGGAGATCCTGAGCCCCAAGTTGGTGGAGCAGGCAAGCGCCAATACCAGGAACCCGGAATCTCTCAGCACAGGCAGGGGAAGTGGTAGACACCTGCTCAGAAAATCATCATGTGCACAAGCATTCTCCAGCAGCCAAATCTCCCAGTGCTTCAGCACAACTCCAGGAGGCACAGTTCCAGGCTGGCAGATATCCTCAAGCAGCCAAACATTTGAGTACAAGGCCCAAGTAAACAGGAGCCAAATATTCAAGTGCAAGGTCCTAGTGAACAGGCATCCCTCAGGGGCCAGACTCCCCAACCTCACCCTAAGACTTCAGTGTTGCTGACTTCAGCTCAGCACCACGTAAGCTGCCAGACCACTACAGCCTCCAGCTGCCAACAATTCAGGACCCAGCACACAGCCAGTGACAAGGTACCAGGGTCCTAGCACAAAAAGCTTAGATCACTTCCTCCCACTGTCCAGGAGGAGAGCTTTACTCTAAAAGCCAGGAATTAGGCAAATGCCATGAGCAAAAAGAAGAAATGAACATTAATTACAGATTTCTTACTATGGAGACAGGGAAGATTGAGGCACAAATTCAGAAGAGGACCACATTGTCAATATACCCTCATCTGAAAACTTGAAGAATATGAACTGGTTTCAAGTCCAAAAAGCCTTCTTGAAAGAGCTCACTGAAGGGAACTGTTTAAAAAGTAAACTGGGCCAAATGGAAAAGGAAGTACAAAATCTAATAGAAGGAAGCAATTTGATAAAAATTAGAGTTGGGCAAGTGGAAGCTAATGAGTTCATAAGATATCAAGAATCAGTTAAACAGAAACAAAATAATGAAAAAATGGAATAAAACATAAAATACCTCATTGGAAAAACAACTAACCTGGGAAATAGATCTGAGAGACAATTTGAAAATTAGTGGTCTACCTGAAAAACATGATGAAAAAAAAAAAAGCCTGGACAGCATCTTTCAGGAAATCATCAAGGATAAATGCTGTGAGGTCCTAGAACCAGAAGGTAAAATAGTCACCAAAAGCATTACCCAACACCTCCTGAGAAAGATCCCAAATTGAAATGCCCTGAAATATTCTAGCCAAATTCCAAAATTACCAGGTCAAAAAGAAAATACTGCAAGCAGCCAAAAAGAAACAATTTAAATATCATGGAACCACAGTCAGGATTACACAGGACCAGGCAGCTTCTACATGAAAACATTGAGGGGCTTGGAATGTGATATTCTGCAAGGCAAAGGAGCTTGGATTACAACCAAGGATCAACTGAAAAGTGAAACTAAGCATAATCTTTTAGGAATGAGGTGGACATTCAATGAAACAGGGAACTTTCAAACCTCCCTCATGAAAAGACTTGAGCTCAACAGAAAATTTGATCTTCAAATACAAAATTCAAGAGAGGCATAAAAAGGTAAACAGGAAAAAAAACCATGTTATTAATAAGGGCAAATAAGGGAAGATGACACTTGTAACTCTTGAAAGCTGTATTATTATTACACCATGTAAAAGGGATATACATAGACAGTGGACATGGCTATAAGTTGACTTTAATGTGATGATAAAAAATCTAATTAAGTGATGAAAAAAGATTTTACTGCAAGAAGAGGAAAAGAGGAGGCAGACAAGAGTAAGTTACATCACATGAAACGGCACAAAAACCTAATACAGTAGAGGGAAAGAAAGGAGGGAGATGAGCATTATTTGAACCTTACTGTCATTAGATTTAGCTCAAATCAGAAATAACATAATCAGTCAGGTATAGAAATCTAACTCACCCTATAGGAAGAAGGAGGGGAAAGGGGAAAGAAGAGGGAGGGGGTGGATAGAAGGGAAGAAAGAAGTTGTAAACATAAAGGGGAAGAAAAGGGAGGCAGCTGATAGAAGGGAAAGCAGACTAGGGAAAGTGGTGGTCCAAAGCAAAACCCTAGTGAGGAGAGGAAGGAAGAAAGGAGAGAGAAAATCATAAACAGGAGGAGGGGGCAGTGTAAATAGGATGGAAAGAAAGGCACAGATAGTAATCATAACTGTGAGTGTGAATGAGATGAACTGTCAGATAGTAGAGTGGATTATGAATGAAAATCCTACAATATGTTGTTTACAAGAAACAAATTTGAAGCAGAGGGATACACACAGAACAAAAGTACAAGGCCAGAGGAGAATATATGCTTCAGCTGAAGTAAAAAAAGCAGCGGTAACAATTCTGATCTCAGACAAAGGAAAAGCAAAAATAGACCTAATTAAAAGAGATAAGAAGGAAAATACATCCTGCTAAAAGGTACCATAGACAATGAAGTAATATCATTATTAAACATATATGTACTAAGTGGCATGGCATCCAGATCCTTAGAGGAGAAGTTAAGGGAGTTATAGGAAGAAAGAGATAACAAAACTATACTAAAGTAGGATCTCAACCTCCCTCTCTCAGAACTAGATAAATCTAACCCCAAAACAAACAAGAAAGAAGTTAAGGAGAAGAATAGAATCTTAGACAAGTTAGATATGGTTGACCTCAGGAGAAAATTGAATGGGAATAGAAAGGAATATACCTTTTTCTCGGTGGTACACAGTACCTACACAAAAATTGACCATGTACGAGGTCATAAAAACCTCACAATCCAATGTAGAAAGGCAGAAATATTAAATGCATCCTTTTCAGATCAAGATGCAATAAAAATTACACATAATAAAGGGCTGTGGAAAGATAGAGTAAAAATTATTCGAAAACTAAATAATCTGATCATAAAGAATGTATGGGTCAAACAACAAATCACAGAAACAATCAATAACTGCATCCAAGAGAATGACAATAATGAGACAGCATACCAGAACTTATGGGATGCAGTGAAAGTGATTCTTAGGGGAAGTTTTATATCTCTAAATGCTTACATGAATAAAGTAGTGAAAGAGCAGATTAATGAATTGGACATACAACTAAAAAAGATCCTCAAATAAATACTAAATTAGAAATTCTGAAAACCAAAGGAGAAATTAATCAAATTGAAATTAAGAAAACTATAAAACTAAGAGCTGGTTTTATGAAAACAATAAAATAGACAAAACTTTAGTTAACTTGATTTAAAAAAAAAAGAAGAAAATCAAATTACCAGCATCAAAAATTAAAAGAGTGAATTCCCCACCAATGAAGAATAAACTAAAACAATAATTAGGACCTATGTTGGCCAACTGTATGCCAATAAATTTGACATCTTAGTGAAATGGATGACTATTTACAAAAATATAAATTGCCCAGATTAACAGAAAAGGAAATAAAATACTTAAATAACCCCATTTCAGAAAAAGAAATTGAAC